CCCCAAAACCCCAAAACCCCAAAACCCCAAAACCCCTCGTACTTGTGGAAATATTGAAATTACGGATATAATAATAAAAATGAAAATTCTTCCTATAGTGCTAGCTCTATGCCTTGCCATTGCTTGTGTTGCAGAGAACCCAGCTCTTGTTGCAGTGATTGAGGAGCCGATAATTAATAAGGTTAGAGATAAGTACTTTGAAAGTGCTCTCGGAGCTCTTGGTACTCTCACAATGCCGGATTTTGAAGAAGGCGCTATTACGGCAACTAATATTAGGGTACAGATTAGTAATGACTCTCCTCAAAACTTGGTGGTTGGATTTGATAATGAAAGCAACAGTATTAAGGCTGAGATCAAGAATACCAACATCAAAGTCCAGGTCGATTATAAATACAAGGCAGGACTCGTCACTGTTAATGGAGATGCTGATGTACAAGGTCCAATAGATAGTGTCGCCTTATCTCTCCTGATGGACAAAATGGAAGATGGAGAATTTATAATCCCACAGATCGCTGTTCCTGATTTCGACTTGGAGATGGATAACTCTAAATTTGACTTGAAGCTAACTTGCAAGGGATGCATTAAAGCTGTTGAGAGCTTGATCGCCACCTTCATGAAAGGAACACTCCTTAATCAAGTGAAAGACCAAGTTAAAGAACAAGTCCCTACTATGGCAAATGAAATAGGAAACGGAATCTTGGCTTCTTCATACCCAAGAACCTTCCCTCTCTTGGAAGATATCAGAATTGTTACTGCCTTGACAGATGCAATCAACGTTGCTGATGGGCACTTAGAAATTCCATTAGACGGAACAGTTTATACTGAAGAAAAAGGTATTGTCAGACCAGGTCCTACTCCAGATATGCCAAGATACAACCCAGAAAGCCCTGGAGAGGCACAGATGTTCTTCAGTTCGTACCTTGCTCAGACTCTATCACACACTCTAAATACTTTGAACAAGCTTGTCATCAAGACCAGATTCTTGTTGTTTACCTTTGTAACTACTATTGATCCATCTAAGGGAAAGACAGCTATCAGTTTTGATAACAACGCCATTGTTGCTACAATCTATCCAAAGATCGTCACAAAGTATCTCAAGCTAGGTGTTGAACTCGGCACTGTAGTCAAGGTTAGCCTCAAGATTAAGAACGGAGATAGCCAGAACTTACTCAGCGTTGTGCCAAAGATTAAAAAACTTAACTTGAACTCGTTCAAGTTGATAGTTTTAGGAATCCCAATCAACTTGAGCTTGTTCAAGTTTTTGATTACTCCTTTCGTGAGACTCTTCTTGAACTTCATTGTGTTGCCCACAATTGAAATTCCAAAGTCTGATCTCCTCCCACTGACTGTGACTGACAGCCTGCTGTCTTTCAACAAACAGTATGCCGAGTTTGGAATCTCTTTTGACTTTGAAGAATAACTTTGTCCAACCAAAATTAAGTCTAAAGGGGTTTTGGGGTTTTGGGGTTTTGGGGTTTTGGGGTTTTGGGGTTTTGGGG